TTAATAAATAAATAAAATAATTATTTAAAAAATAAATTGCCAGTAAATAATGATATTGCTTTAATAGAAATAAATCATTTCCCAATTATATTTCTAGCACCTAGAAAACTAATGGCACAAAGTAGGTGATCAATTAAAATTGTTGATTAATTAACCTTGATTTGGGATCTAGGTTTATGTAAATTTGTGTTATATATTTATGATGTTGATAAGCAAATTAATTTCTTTGAGTTAGTAAAGAATTTGGTGAACATGGCATTTATTTCATTTTTGTCATATTTGTTCAAGTTCTACACCATAACTAATTCCTGATCAAAACTATTATTTTTTTATACCAACCAATTTCCCTCTTTTCTTGTCCTGTAGTCTGAGTTTTCTTTGTCCTTCCCCTTTAAGACGTTCATCAAGGTCTGTCAGAAAGATTCATTTGCTTATAAGACAGTAAATATAAAGGCACATAGGCTACAGATTCGTGTTGTTGTTAGTTGCCATTCAACTGGCTTCAACTCATGGTGACCTTATGCGTAACGGAAGGAAATGCTGCCCGCCCTGCACCATCTTCATGATCATTGACAGATTTATAGAAAACAGGATTTAAATCCTGGCTTCACCACAGCAGCTTTAAACAAGTCACTTTAAATTCTGAGTCTCGTTGGTAACACTGGCTTCTGGAATCATTATGTTTGGCTTTAATACCATTGTAGCTATCCATTAACTAGACTCAATAGTTGAGAAACAGGATGTGTGAGCTAAATTAATTTGCGGGAGCAACTATAAGAAAGAATTAAAAAAAAAAAGATTGAATTTGTCTAAAATGATAGGTTCCTTTTTTTCTTGGTAAAACTAAAGTATCCTGAGCCTCTTTCTCTAATTATGTAAAGAGTTTTAGTATCTTAGGTCAGTATCCAGACCATGAATTCTCATGAAACAAAAATTGAAGAAGATGGGATTCAAATTTTACAAATATCTTCCAAAACATGTTTTGACTTTAATTTCTTTCCAACTTTCTTAATATTTGTGTCTATTTTAAGTACAATTAATTAAAACACTATAGTTGTTAAATGTTCTCATGAATTAGGTTCTGGTTTATTGAAATTAATCTGTATAACTTAATTCTTGCTTTACTCAACACACATGGCAGATCCCAATCCCTCTAAGAGTCCAGTATATTGTCGTGCTCACCATATTCTGTGACCATACCCTGAAACAATTAACTTGAACTCTTCAGGGATCAAAGACAAGACATATGTGTGAATTTTGTTCAGTTCCAAAACCGGCCTCTAATGTTGGTTCTACCATTTTGAAAACAACATTAAATTCCTAAATTCTCATTATCATCATTAATTAGAATCATTTGTTGTTGTTGTTAGTTGCCATCAGGTTGGCTCCGACTCAAGACAACCCCATGTATAACAGACTGAAACGTTGCCTGGTCCTTCACCAACTTCATGATTGTTGATATGTCTGAGTCCATTGTTACAGACATTGTGTCAATCCATTTCATGGAGAGTTTCCCTTGCCTTTGCTGGCCCTCCACTTTACCAAACATGATATCCTTCTACAAGGTTCTGTCCCTCCTTATGATGTGTCCAGAGTAAATGAGCTGAAGTCTTGCACAATATTCTGTGATCCACAGGGTTTTCACTGGCTAATTTTTGGAAGTAAATTGCCAGACCTTTCTTCCTAGTCTTTCTTAGTCTGAAAGCTTCACTGAAGCCTGTCTACTGTGGGTGATCCTGTTGGTATTTGAAATACTGGTGGCATAGCTCTTAGCATCATAGCAACACACAAGCTACCACAGTACGACAAGCTGACAGACAGGTGGTGGGAATATAATTATAGCTACCACAGCTTCAAAAATATTTATTTAATCTTAGCAACAACATTATAAGGTATATTAAGATTATCCTCATTTTACAAATGAAGAACCAGAAGTGGGGCGGGGGCTGGGGGGGTGGGAGGGGAGAGCGGTCAGTGACTTGGCCAAGGTCAGAAGCTAAGCATATTTCAAATCAGGGCTGCGGAATTCTTAAACTAGGACTCTTTTTGACTACACCATGCCTACGTTCATAAAAACTACCCCTTATGCAATTGTAAAGCTTAAGGGAATTGGAAAAACTCATGCTACTACAATGCACACCAAATACACTTTTCAGAAAATATCGAGCTAGCTTAGCAACGGCATAGTTTCTATTGCTGCTGGCTAGGCAGGGAGATAACAAGAGGGGAAGCATTCTTCTTAGAAATATTTCAGGGAGGCTCCAGTTCAATTTGGAAATACCATCCAATCCTCCCTCTACCAGTGATGAATCGTGATCTAAAGGCCCCTCTAGGTAGCTTATTTTAAACTCTAGATGTTTTGAGAGACTAGAAACACCCTGGCCTTCATCACTGAAGAAAATAAGTCAAATCAACTCAAGACTTTAATCTGTCTTGACTGTTTTTATCAGCCAACATTTGAACAAATGACTTGCCACCTTTTGTATTTTCATCCCTAGGCCTCTATCTCTCTAACAGTCAGCTGCCTCTCCCCTGCCTTACACTATCTATTTAACTTGTGAAGTGAATTATAGCATATTCCCTCTGAAAAATGCATACCACCTATATCAATTACTCTAGGGAGATATCACTTCATTGGAAGGGAGAAAAAATAAAAAAAATCCCTGTATTTGGTATTCATTCTTTCCTTTATAGCAAGCCAAAGCAAGTGCCAACAGATTTCTAACAACGCTGAGAAATAGATTTATCTATTAATCACATGATGATTATAAATTCATTTAAACAATTACGCCACAGCCACGATATATTTGCCACTTTCCTGCCTTCATTCCTTCCTCAAAGAATGTAAAGGCTTATAATATGCATTACATAAGGAATGATGTGCTAAAAGAATGAAATTAAATTTGGAAAGGAAGTTAAGATGTTCATTGTAGCATTATTTATAATATCTAAAAATTGAAAACGGAATAAATGCTCAGCTATAATGGAATGACTAAATGTAATGGTATTAGTCACCCAACAGAACACTGTGCAACCAATAAAATATTTTGATTATTAATTTTAATCCTGCAAATCACAGGGGGAAATGCATTTATATAATATTAAGTGAGGAAAGAAAGAAGAATTTAAAAATTATGTAGATAATATGATCTCAACTTTAAGACACTGGATATTCTGAGACAAAATACTGGAAGGCAAATCATTCAATTGGTAACAGTGGGTATCATCACTGAGTAACAGTCTGATAGGTGATTTTGCTGTTCTTCATCACATATTTTTATATTTTCCAAAGTTTGCCCTTTGAGTCTGCACAAATAGCAAAAAGGACTACCTATGTAACCATCAGTTTCTTTATCTGTAAAATGGTGATGATAATAATACCCACCTCCTAGGATTGTTCTGGTAATTAAATGAAAAAAAAAAAAGTTTGCAAATCTTCTGGCACTGTGCCCAGCATACGCAAGCATTCAAAAAATGACAAGGCTTCTATTTTTTATTTTTGCCTTTTGTTTCAAAGTAAGAAAGTATAGGGTGATTTATATGAAGTTTTATTTTTTCCCTCTCAAAATGCAGTGCATAGAAAAGGAAATATTTCTAAGAGATTGTAAAATAATGAGGGAATAAAGAATAAGGCTTTCACGTATTTTGTTCCATGAAACGATGATGCTATGATCCTTACAAAAGGATTCAGGGTAAGCAGGGAACACATAAGCAGATTACAAACACATACACTCAGGCAAATGCACACATACCACGCACACACACACACACACAAACATATGCACACAGAATACCCCCCACACATGCATACGTGAAACATGATCATACCACAGACACCCACAAAACAAACAAACAAAAACAGTGCAGAATTTCAGCACCTGGGCAGACAGTACAAAAAATTTACTTCAGTCCTTTGTTGCCAAAACCTAAGCTTCTCACTTCTGAAACTGTCTCATACATTAAAAATAAAATCTGTATTCAAATATTCCCTCCAGTAAAGTAAAGTGATGGTCCGACCCAAGGTGCCGACAGATTATACTTGCCCCCATTTTGACCTCTATGTTATGGATTCCTCATTCCATGTACAATACAATCCATACCTAGGTCTGCATAGTTAGACTTGAAAAATTGCTTGCGTCCACAAAAGTACAGCTCGAAGTCAGTTTCATTCGACCTGCGCAAAGTATATCCATTTTCAAGAGCAGCAAAAGCATCACAGGTATAACGGTAGGTAATGAAACCATAGCTGTCTCTGCAATGGACAAAAAGGAAAAGTCCAAAGCTGGTTAAAAAACATTAGCATATATGACTGTAACCCTTTCTACTGTGGGGGACTTTGAGAGTGCCAACATCTGAACCACTGCATCCATTTATCTGTGTGATTGTCCTGTCAAGCAGCTAAATACTTATTTCTGGGACAGCAAATCTCAACTACAAACATTAATAAATAGGGATGAAAGAAAATAAATAAGGTTTTGAACTCAACATGTCATCTTTCAAAGCACTTACATTGGCAACTGCCATCCCAGTAATCTTATGGCCATAATTTTTTACATACGTCAACTTCTAAACAAGAAATAATCTCGAAGATTCTCACCCATCATCCCGCAGATTTACTGTGCACTCCTCTATTTCACCAAAAACTTCAAAACGGTCCCTCAGTTCTGTCCGTGTTGTGTCAGATCTGATTTTACCAACATAAATCACACGGCGTTCTTCCTGTGAGGGGAAAGTAAGGGGAGACTTTCGCTAGTTCTGGAGATAGAAGTTGAGTCTCTAGAAGCATTCATAAAGATACAATCATGCACAGTAAGGACTCACAGAGCATGACAATTAGAGCAAAACATATGCCAAAGCTGAATGAGAGACTACGCTTAAATCAAATTTTACTTTCAATTTATCCATGTCAATCTCTTCTCTCACACACACACACTCCACTGCACCTCTTCTCTCTTCCACCTTTTCAGTCTGTCTCTTGTTCTTCCCCACATGAACTTTTATGCATTACAAAGAAGTGTGTGCAACGATGATCTTTTTTTTTTTTTATCACTGAATAGCTGAACAATAACTTAAATAATTTAATACTTATGACTTGATGATAATACTTCAAAATGGCTAAGAAACTGACCTGGCTTGCAAAGATGTTTCTCATTAACTCAAAACTCTAATAATGAGATGTACAGGTACATATTGACAACTTAAAATGTAAACTCTTAAAATATTAAAAAAAAAAAAAAAAAAAAAAGCAAACAACCCATTGCCTTTTAGTTAATTCCGACTTATAGGGACCCTATAGGACAGAGTAGAACTACCCCATAGGGTTTCCGAGGAGCAGCAGGTGCATTCAAACTGCCAACCTTTTGGTTAGCAGCCTAACGCTTAACCACTACACCACCAGGGCTCCTCTTAAACTCTAGTATGAATAAAAATCATCTGAGGCACTTTATCAAATTATTGGGGCTTATCCCAGCTGTACTCAAAAACGATTTTATAGCGTAGGGTTCAATGATCTACATTTTTAATATGCACATCCAGTGATTCCGATGATGCAGATGGTCTAAAGAAAATAAGTTGAGAAATACTGCCTTAAAATATAAGCCATTTTAAGCCACGGTTCTCAGACAAATAAGAGGAAATAAAAGGGACTATAAATGAAACTTTGCCAATGAATCTAGTCTGATTTCAAGAACAGACTGGAAAGGCAGGGCCTAATTTTCCAAAAAGGAGTCAATAAGAGCATAATCTGAAAGTCATCAGCAATGTATAACCTATAAAATATGGGGAGAATATTTTATGGCCTGAGGACGAATTTCTTTTTTTAAAAAACAAGAATGCGTTCTTAGTGTAAGAAGCAATCCTATATCTGTTGTTCAAAGCAGAGAAAGCCAAAGGTAATGATAAACTCTCAAAACTGAGAATTTTTTTTTTTTTTTAAGAATAAAGAGTTCATATGAAGAATATGCTACTAAGGATGAAGAACAATGAAATGAATTTAAGATTGCAGATTTGATTTAGATTGAAACAAAGGGAAAAACAACAGGACTAAGGTACAGTTTCAGGAGGTCCAAAGGGATAACACGCTTGGCTGGTAACCAAAAGCCTGGAGTTTCAGGTACACCCAAAAATGCTTCGGAAGAAATGCCTGTGACTTACTTTAGAAAAATCAGCCATTGGAAACCCTACAGAGCAATTCTACTCTGACACACATGGGGTCACCATGAGTCTAAATTGACTCAATGGCAACTGGTTAAAATACAGATTTAGCTTGTCTAATAATTTTCTCTGGATGTAAAAAAAAGTCCTCTGGCTTGAATGCTGGAAAAGTAATTTAGTTTTAAGGCAAAGAGATGTCCTACAGAATTTACTGAATGCCTTTCCTTTTCACATGTCCGGTATTTAGCAAAGCACCTGACCAAGAATGGGTACTCGATGAACATTTGTACAACACAACTGAACAATTCGAAGACTCTGTAATATCTTCCTAGGAGATGTGATCATCGGGCCTCATCTTCTTTTACCATATGTAGCACTCATATTCTTTCTATTTTCATCAGGGTACTTCGTCTGAGCTTCAGACTCAAATAACCAATTATCTACCTGGCATCACAGCTTGGATGTCCTGTAAGCACCTCAAACTAGACAAGCATGACCCAAGCTGAAGTGTCCAGGTTCGCATTCTCCGCTGCTGTTCTTTCTCCAGTGTTCTTAAAAATCAGTGAAGTTAACACCTTCTTGCCAGTTTTCCAGGACAGAAATCTGAGTGCAACCCTCGACTCTTCCCTCTAGGTTACCTCCACATATCCAATCATTACTTAAGTCTTGTTGGTTTTATCTCCTAAATTTCTCTCTAGGCTGCCTCCTTTATTCCATCTCTTCTAAACCAAGCTGCTTGCATCACTTTCTGGACTGGTATACGAGACTCTTAACTTGGATCCCAGGGTCTGTGTTTACTCTCCTCCAATCCATTCTTTTACTGCAGTCAGAATAGTTTTTGCTAAGAGGATAGAATCTGATCATGTCATTTATCTTCTAAAACATTCCAATGGCTTCCCATTGCTTTAAGTAAAGACCCAAATCATTAAAAGGGCCTGCAAGGCCCTGCACTGTCTGGCCCTGTCTTCATCACTGGCTTAATCTCCCACATCCTATTCTTTCCTTTACTCTATTTCCCAAACATACTGAGCTTCTACCAGTTCCCAGGATATGCTATGCTCCTTCCTTCCCCAAGTTTTTGCACAGCTATCCCTCGCTACCTGGAACATTCTTCCCACACTGCCCCCCAACCCCTTCCACAAACTTGCTAAAAAAACTATTGCTCTTGAGTTGATTCTGACTCATGCTGACCCTATTGGACAAAGTAGAACTGTCCCATAGGGTTCCCAAGGTTATAACCTTTATGGAAGCAGACTGCCACATCTTTCTCCACGGAGTGGCTGGTGGGTTCAAACTGCCAAGCCCTGCACGACCAGGGCTCCTTCTGCCACAAACACCAATCTTAAATTAAGCTCAACAATCATTTCCTTCCCAAGACTTAAGATGAGGCCAGGCTTCCAACTAGCTGCTTTTACGGAACATTCTATTTCCCCTTTATAGTTCTATGCCCAATTGTAATTAAACAATTGATAAGCTTATTCATTGTTTCATGGCTGTCTCCCTACTTCAATGAAAGCTTCATGAAAGCAGAGATAATACCTGTCCAATTTGCTACTCTCTTCTGAGGGTTTTACTGGGTTTCTGAAACAACGAGTTTATAAATGCTGGTTAAAAAATCAATCAATCAATTAATCATTGTAACATTTACCCTTTACCCATATTTACATCAAAGATGCCTAAGTGTGGTCCTTACTCTCTGAGACTCTCCAAGACAATGAACAATGAAAATCAGGCTTGAATGCTTTATCATAGGACCTCCCCCAGGTAGCTCTGCTAAGTAAATTGACAAGAGTTTCTATGATTCGTGTTTAAAGGCTGAAGTGTAAGAAATGTGCAGTAGCATGTTTGCAGGGCTCTCACTTCTATATATCACCTCTGGAAATCAGAGGTGGACTCCGCTGAGACATTTGGTAAAACATAATTCTTCTGACAACAGCTGTTGAGCCGAAGTAACTGGCCAGATGAAATACAGCCAACAGAATAGGCTGCATGATTCGCATCCATGTACATTGTATGTCTCAATTGAAGGCTGTCATTGGGTTGCTCCAGAGCACCCAGCACATTGTGGAGGTCAATAAATATAAATCGGATGCTGAGGCTCACCCTGAAGCAGCATTGCACACTTCAGCAGGGGAATCAGAACACTGCATTCCATTCTGTTTACTCATCCAGCTCTAGCCAAACAGTCGAATATGATGGGACTGTTATCTAAATTTCCTGGCGCCTGCTTGCATGGGTGTTATGGATTTTTTTAAATGATCCTGTTAGGAAGTTTACTACTGTATAGAGCAAAAGGATGGAGAAGTGCAGAAAAGAGGGAAAGAAATGGAACCATCACAAAGAAATTGCTCAACTACCATTATGGGAATACACACAGCCTATCTATTCAAGGAAATTTGAAGTTAAAGCTAAAATCGACCATATGTATGCCCATATGCAGACATAATGGGAAAATCTCTGAGTTGCTGCTTTACAGAAAGTTGCATGCAACAATGACCTCACAAAGAAGATAAACCAGAGGACCTTTTATAATGGAAACTGATACATTCTGCAATAAAAAGAACACAATCTAGAGGGGAGAAACAGGAATCCAAAAGGCTGGTCCATGGTCACTTAAACTACCTATCTGCCCATTATCTTCTATGAAACACAGGAATGGGGCCATGCCTGTGCTACCCTACAAAGATCAGAGCTTGAATATGTATTGAAATCCTCATTTGGGCAAATCACTAACGTCCTAGGTTTTCCCAGTGCTGTAGTGAAAATAAAAGGTATCTGAAGGTCTAAAAAACAAAGACCAAACTCCTTCCAAGATTGGCCAAAATGTCGAGAAAAGAATAGATTATTTTTAACATGCTGCAGTTTTATTAGACAGATGAATAGATTTCATATCTTTAAAAAACCTTAACATTTGCAGCCAATTTTTCAAGACATTAATTTCTAAACAGGACATGAAAGGAAAAGAAGTCAAAATGCCTAATAACATTTGCAACTTCTTAAAGGCTGAGGGACACTCTAAACCTTTGGAAAAAGCTCCTTGAAAAACGATTTTCAGACAAGTTTTCACTATCGAGGAGGAAGGAGCATTTATCAAATATCTTTCAGCTTCAATATTCACAAAAGTTAGTGTGCTGATGGAGTGGATAATAAAATCGAGGATTTAGTTGCATTAACAGGTATAGTAAAACATCATTATATCAAAACATGGGGGATAAATAAAGAAAAAAACTGACTGAATTAACTGATTTTGCATTATCAAACTCTTTATATCAAAAAGACTATAGCGCCTCCCAGTTAGCTGGGAAAAACATACAACAGTTGAATCTCACCAAACAATAAGCTACTCCTGATAAAAGAGGTTTGGCTAAGAAAAGAAGAAAAGTAGCAAGGAAACTAAGGTTTATTAAACTGTAATGTGTCCAAACCATGGGAGAAAAATGTGCCATTCTGCTTCCGAAAAGATTTACAGCCTTGGAAACCCCAGGGGGCAGTCTCCCTCCATCCTGTAGGGTCACCATGAGTCAGAATTGACTTGATGGCAGTGAGTTTGGTTTTGGGTTGGAATG